TGTAAGGCAAAGCTGCACAAAGGTCAAGCTGCTCCATAGATAGGGATCTATGAATTGAGCTTGTGTGGTCTTTGTATGAACCTTTGTTTACATTAGTGGATTAGATTCAGTGGTGAGTCCCTAGTTTTTTAACCCAGAGATGGGTTTTTTCGGCCAAAAACATCTTGTGTTGATTATTGTGTTTATTAGCTTTTATACTTCAATAATTCTAGATGATATGTGTTCACCATAACCTATCCTTGCAACTAAGATAATCAACATTAGAATCTATACTGAAGTATATTTAAGTTAGTTGGGATGTCCTCAGTATTTCAGGGTTTTACATTGATTGTTTCCGCTATTATTAATCTAATCATTTGAACTTAGTTGACTGGTGTTGCTGACTAGTCAGACAAGTACATATACAAATTTTTAGTGCAGGTTAATCCACCTGGTATCTATATCAACTTGGTCGACCCAATCTTAGCCATTGGCCTGAAAGATACTAATTAGGTCGAGAATCGTGGTACTCAAGTCAACCCACTCGGCCCAATCTATTATTTCAGGCCCAAACATTGCCATATTGCTTCTGAAACTCTCAACCATAGACACTTAAGTTGAAGGTTTTTAAAAATCAAATATTCTTTAAATTGCCCACTTTCTTGCATTAAATGCCTCAATTCCAATTTACACTCAAATTTTGCCTCGATTGATATGTTTTTCCTTTCTTATGCCACACGTCAGGCTCATATGATGGCTCTTCGAATTTGGCTACTCACACGCCACTATTTTCCAGACAATTTAATCAACCAAAGGTCCAGTCTGAATAATCACCAATCCCTTAGTTGGATCGTGCAGTGTGAAATTCAGTCTATGACATTTCAATTTCCCTAGCTGCAATGATTGAAAAACATACCCCAAGACTTCTTGATTTCTTCCAAGGCTAAACAAATTTTATCTGTGCCAGCCTTGGCCATATGAAATCCAAAATCCCTTATCTCATTTTGAGTTCAAAAACCTAGAACACTAAACCTTGAAAATTTTCAATTTCTTCCGCCTCACTATTTATTCTTTCTTAATCATAATGGCTCTTAATCAACTCAGCTTTGATTTATGTGAGAAACTCTCTATCGTGCTTAAATTAGCTAGACGTTCCACTAATTACTTCGTCACTAGACCTTTCATTGCTTCAAAACCTTTTACTCAAATCCTAGATCTATGTTTCACAGGTATAGTCCTTGAGGCATAATCAATCTTCTTGAATAATTTTAAAAAAGGCAACGATTGGTCGAAATGAGAATTCGTCGAGCATCAAGTTGCTTGGCCATCAGTTCCCACAACCTAGGCTAATTGAGATTAAAGAATGGATAATTCTTTAGCGATTCTTGGAAATGACTAGGCATCTATGATGCCATCAAACTCTCAACTATCAAGATCGTCGTGGATCGGAAACTTCTGATTGCTGCCATTAAATTTAGGTGCCTGACTTTTAATATGATAATCCTACCCCCTGGCCCTATGGCACCCAAGGTGTTGGATATTACCGCATTTCTTGGCACCACTTTAACCTATTCATCAATTGACGTCTCTCTGTTGTCACAAACGCGTGAGACTAGTGCGAAAACCCTCTTTGACAAGAAAGCACTAGAAATTTTATAGACCAAAGACAATAACAAAAACTGGCAGCAAAAACACATTACCAAGCTTGTAAAATATTTCCTTAGTTACAAGACCTTACTTGACAATATTGCTGGAAAAGATGATAGATAACTGAAAACAAGGGAACATGAAACATTCCTTTTCTATGGTACAAGTTCATTTTCTTCCCAAAATACATCAAATGCTTAATCGAAAACATGTATGTGGCAGAAGCATTGGTGAATGGCCAAGAACTTGCCCTTAACCCCTCAATCCTTTCACATATTTTTCGGTGCCTTCATGACGTTGTTGTGGAAGGGATGGAATCACACCAACATGGCCCACTCTAGTTTTTCCAATGATGGCTCCAGTCTTACTTTCAGGCCTTTCGACTAGCCAGTCCACTTTTTCAAGCTGATACAGCCATGGGGTTCCAGTTAGCACAACTTAAACCGACAAGTCGTCATGCAACAGAAACATTTGGTCATTTGTTCACTACCACGAAATCTAAAGGGGCGAGTGGACAGTCTATTGCTCAAGGCCATATGCCTATTACTTTCAGTTTGTAGCCTTTCTCTAGGATAAATAGACAAATGCCGAACTCTAACTAATATGGGGTTCATTTCTCCTTATGCGTGATGTCTCTTTTGCAGGCAAACTATGGAGCTCAGGGTTTGAATTGTACATACTGAACTTCTTTGCCTATCAACTTGGCTATTACGAAGCTAGTCCAATTTCGTTGGTTTCCCCATGTAATAGTCTTGGTCGTTCCAGGTAAAGCCCGATAGTAGTCACTGAATTTTCTAAAGACAAAACAAATCTCAAGGACCAATGTTCAAGGGCTTGAGCTTTGGCCATGCTCCCACCATGTAGGTAATGTTCATCTTTTCACAGAATGGTGGACACAATACCTTGGTGATCTATTCGGAGCTCTTGTTGCAGAAATATCAACTAACAATCTACAAGAATGGTCATTCCAAAAGTCTAGAGATGGTATGTTTGACCAACCTTTATTCTTTTGGTCATTATTCCTGCTATTAATCCTACTCATTAAACTATGATAGGCAATTCGCAAAAAAATGCCCAAGCGTCGTTCTCCAATGGCAAGTCAAAGCACTTTGTGCCGAAAAAGGCCCATTGATCCCTCATTTCCTCTCCTCCCTTCGAATGCGAAAGGAACCGAGGAAACAAAAGCAACCTCATCATTCAAACGTCATGAACTAGTACCCAAACGACAAAGGCCATCGGCTCGGCCGAATCAAAACTTGACACTAAATATTTTGGATAAACAAGGCATCTGGCCAAATCGCACTGATCAATAAATTGGCCCGCTATCAAATCCCTTCTCATTCCAAGTCGAGACCATTACTACTCCCCATATGATTTCTCAGAGAGATCAACTTTTGTAAAATGAAGCCTCACTAGAGGGTGCCTCATTGCCAGGGAATAAAGGACACCAATCTCCTTTGTTTGTGTTTTCAGCAATTTACTATTTCCTTTGGACGTTTATACTTCTTGCTAGTTCATCCTAGATGACCAACACTTCTAAGACATCACAAGATCCTAATGCTCTACTCATCCTCAAAGAGATAGTAAGCTACTTAGATAAAGATGCCATCAATGGTGCATATCTCGACCTGGTTGGAAATACTTGCATGACCTACTAATCAAAAAAGTCCATAAATCAGAAGACATGAACCATCTTCTAGCCTTGCTAGAGAAAACTAAGTTTTTTTCTAAAACTTCAAAGCTCTGCAGGCTGAAAAGGAACTTGAACAAGCTTTGAACCAGCATAATGCCGTTTCGTGACTCTTGAGATGACCTCTTTAGGTGAAAAAGTTAGAAACTCTTCACCAACTGAGACGATAACCAACCAACCAGAAGCAGTGTTGTTCACTTGTCCGAATTGAAGATGCTCCTAAATCACTTGATGCTCCTAAATCACTTGGTTCTACAGCTCCAATGCAATTCATTTATCCAAACTAAAGGTGTCACTGGTTGCAAACACAATGATGTGCACTTATCAAAATTGAAGATGTGTTGAAAGGGAAGTTAGGATAGTTAGTGTTTTTCTCAAATGTGTGAGAAGGGTTTCACGTAGAGCGAGAGTTTTTACGTAGTGCGTTTTGAGTTTTTTGTTGAGTTGAAGGGGGCTTCAATGTTGCAAAGCCAGCCTATACTTAATCTCTTCACATTCCTATCTTCACAAGGACTCGGTCGAACTGATCAGATTCATGGACTACAAGCCAATTAGCCTAAAGGATACTCATTGGACCGAGAACCGATGTCCTCATGTCAATCCATCTTGGCCCAAGCTGTTATTTCTGGCCCAATCAACAATGTAGGAGGTAGATTTTCGATATAGAATATGATGTTTTGTAACTTGTAAAAGATAAGTCAGTAAAAATATAGTCTTCAATTTCTAGCCGTCTCAACAATTCTCATTATTTGTTTTTTGATTACTTAAATAATATTCGTAATTTATATTTGTTTGTCCGTTTGATACTCTGATTTTCAAATATCAATTATGAAAATAATCCAAAACACTAGAGCGTAAAATATAGTTAAACCTAAAATGCAATAGAATAGAAGTTAGAACAAGAACCAAATTTAATATATTTGTAATGAAAAAAATATAATCATATTTGAGCATGTTGTATAACAAATAACAAACGAAACATATTCAAAGCTAATAAGTACCTAATTAAGTGTATGTGAGGCAGTTAAGCAAGTCTCGAATTTTTTAGATCGGATTCGAAATGTGCAAATTCATTACAATTCTATCAAATGCTTTTATGAGTGTTTTGAATTTCAATATTTTGATTTCGAAATTGAATCGGACGAAATATTTTAAAACTTTTCAGCTCATAGTCGGTTGGAAACAGTATTTTCTTATCCAAATTGCACCCCTTATACGAGGTTTTAAAACCGACAGTTTCAGTTTGTCTTTTGTAGGAGAAGGGCTAGGAGTCCAAAATAGCTAATGAGGCAATTGGGTGTTAATGGTGGCCGTCACATGATCACATCCGCGTGTGCTGGAACTTTAACGTGGGCTGTCGTTGACCCGAATAGTCAAACTAAGACAAACGTCTTCTTCCCAGATGACTCCTATCCTCCCATTGGAAGCTTTGTGAGCACGGTGGTTAGCATGTGGGTGATCTCGAGCCCTGGGATACGACGAGGTCAGTTGGTGCATTTGCTTAATTAATAGAGTCATAAAGAGGAATGATAGGATCAGTCGCGTATGATCGTTTAAGTTAATCACAATCATTCTTACTTGATCTCACAAACATGAATAATTAAGATCAACTCATACGCGCGACATATAATGATGGCATTGGCAAAATAACGAATAAACGAGCAAAATAAGAGGCACGTAGAGAGGGTAGAAGGAAGAATTACCACAAACTACTTAAGTGTAATTAGCAGAACATTACATATATACACACATACATTTCCTTTTGGCCCAAAGGAAAGAAAAGAGTGCTTGTATACAGCTAATTAGTGAGAGGAAAAAAAACCCTTTTCTATATTCTTCAGATACAAAGACACATGAGACGAGATACTTGACGCAGAAGACCACAAACAGGTTCCAAAAATGCCAAATGCCAATGTCGGAAGCCAAAACTAGCTACTTGATCGATCCTTATTACCTCTGCTGCCTCCACCCGGTGGAAAAGGAAAGGTTCGTGTAATGTGTTAGCATTAGGAGTGAGTAGTCAAATAAGATCAGTTCTACACGCGTGTTGTCAGGCTTCGGATAGTTGGTACACGTTGCAATTGTATTATATGTGTTCTCAAGCTACAATCCTTGACCTGTTACATTGGATAAGAAAGCAATTCAAAAACCGGGTGGATAAATGTGAGAGATTGGAAGGAGAACCAAAATGAAAACTATGGGCAGATTACCTGCATGGCGGATAATGTGGACAAAAAATCTTTGCATTGTTCAAGCACAACCCGTTCTGTTGCAGTAACCTTCATAAGTTCACACAACAAGGAATTCATTTCCTCCACCTGTAAAAGGGAAAGTGCTTCAGAAACTTCCTTAAAACAGTTTCGACTTCTTTGCAGATTGTTAAGCTATTCATAAAGAGGTTACATAGACACATCTATCTACCAGGAATCAATCGACAACATGCATAGAGGCTAGGTGACATGCCAGAATCAAACCTCACATGCTGTCAAAAAACAAGAGTGATCCGGCTGGGGGTGTGGACGCCAATAACTTGCTATCAGATCAGGAAGCGACTGTTGTAGCTCAATCCAATTGCCTACGTTTTGTAATCTAAAAAACAACATAAATGACCTAGGTGTTGCAATGGAGAAGAGAGACTTTTAATGGCTTTATTTAATAAGAAATTTGGTTTAGGTCAATAATAATTTCATATTTCGGCATAGGTCAATGGTCATTTCATTTTCTAGCATAGGTCAACTGCAACAATTTTCCTCTTCAACTAATATTTCGGCATAGGTCTGGTCACTTCATTTTCTAGCATAGGTCAACTGAAACAATTTTCCTCTTCAACTAAGGTACTAAAAAAAAATTTCTTCTCCAACAAAAGGCAATACCACTTGCTAAACTTTCTTCATTGACCTAAAAAGCACAAAATGTTGATCGACTCAATCCTAATGTTGAGAAAATTTAGTGACCTCAATCAAATTACCCCTTTATCTAAAAGGATATTATACCTCAATACCATTTTGTTTCACCAAAATGCAAAACTTGGTTATAACCTGGGCTAATGTTCAGAAACAGTGACTTATTAATCACCATTTTACTTCTAAACTTAGAACTTATAAGCAAATGAACCTACTTTAGGACCAGGATGTTAATGTTATGTTTTTGTGAAATGTTTTACATGAACAGTGACATCAACCAAGGAAAGTAAGATTCAAGAGAGACAAATAGATTACCTTTGACGAAAGATAGCATATCGAGGATACCATTGTCTGCATCACATCAGCTGCTGAACCCACAGCTTCTTTCAGATTTTGAAAGTCAACCTAGCATAAAATGAGCATTGTCAGTCTTTTGAACAGTAATGGCTCCTTTAGTCCCTTGATGTGCCCTTGATTAAATTAAGGGTAAAAAGAAGCCACATACTATTGCTTTTCCCACAACTGGAAGACGGAGAGTACTGGCCTGCAAAGCTTCAGTTGCTCCTAGCAAAGAACTAGAGTGATCTTTTTCCAGAAGACCCCATTCTTCCAAACAACTAATCTACATTCACCAACCACAACAAAACTTCATTCATTATCAAGGACAGGATAAATAACAAAAAAAACAGTAGATGCCTTAAAAAAAAAGAGGCTGTATGTATTTAATAAAACACTCGCAAAATCATGGTGTGACTATAATATATAGCTATCATAGGTTTACCAAGTGTATTCAGTTGTAATATTAACAAGAAAATAATTTGGTACAAAAGAAATAGTATTTCATGATAACATACAAACTCAGGTAGATAAGCTTTATTTGGAAAGACAATAACTATTATACATGCAGACACGCGCCCACAGGGAACATCCCTGAGGAACTTCGGATGCTCCTTCATCAGCACCTACATTGACAGTAGTGGGTTGAGTTATTTTTGTCCTTCTGCATTCGATGGACCAGATTTGAGATTGACATTTCAAACTCTGTAGCTCTGGCAAGAATGCAAGGTCTAGAGCATATAAGCATCATTTAATGGCAATCAATTGAGGCTAATGGGACCTCAACCAAGGTTAATGTTAGTAATTATGCAAGCCCTTGTTATCCCAAAACAGTCTAGTCTCCCTTCTTTCTGATATTTCACATTGCCTTTGCAGACGATATTTGCATGTCTTCCTACAAAAGATTTTTGAAGATGTAGCACACTGTCTTGACAGAAAACATATTATTTCACTAATAACTTTCCCTCTTCTATAGTATGCCCCAACTCCTAAACACCTCTGTTTTTACCGGAAATAAGCTCCTCTTATATGAGAGACCTAATTGACCCTAAGCTAGCCAGAAGTAAAGTTCATCAACAGGCGTTTTACAATAAAAGGTCTTGAGTAACAAAAAAAAAATAAGATAACACCCTCTACCATCACCAATGTCAATAAAGAATAACTCATTCCCATTACAATGAGCATACATCCTTAGGAATACTATTATGATTATAAAATTATAAAAATAAGAGCATTTTTTAGAAATTTTGATCCTCCTGCTTGGTTATCAGAAATCTGGAAGCTAACACATACAAAAAGGTTCCATATAAACACCAAGTTAGCTCTAACCAAACAGCTACTTCATGTAGTAGGAAAAAGAAACTTGGACTTGGCGGATGATTCTTTTCAAAATTATTCCTTTTATTGGATGCCTAAATACAAAGCATTGAACTTGCACTAATCAAGGTACAAGTTAGTAAGGATTTATTATAGGCAATCTTATCAACACTGTCTTGATAGTGCTTTTTGGACATCCGCACAGATTAACGAAAGAAAGAGAGTGGCACTAATCCAGAAGGGGGAAAAGTTCTAACAAGGAGACAACAAAGTGGAAGACAGGTTTTGGTTGATTGAAGGCCAGCCAGCAGAAAACTTAGTTACATCTCAGAAACATGAATCTATTAGAGAAATGAGTTTAGCATTAGAAAAAAATATGCCACCAGCACCATATTATGTACTATTACATTGCGGATGCCAGTCAATGACATATGTTAGATTGGAGCAGAAAGTAAGCGCTATCAAGATAATTAATCTCTGAAACTTACTTGTCCTCTGAGGATAGAAGTTAACTTCAATTTTTGCCTCAACAAGAGTAACTTGATCTTTTTGAGTGTGACAGAATGTCGGAGCTCTGAAGTTGTTACCCATGCATTCCACATGTTTTTCTGGCACCCAAGAAAATGCAAATTTAGATAAGATAATTTACATAAACAGTAACCAACCTGACCATTTTGCAACTAACTTATTTCATCAAAAGACACATGCAAACTGTCAAAAAAAAAAAAAATCAAAACCAGACACAACGTAAAAAGTCACTTTGTATATATGGATGGTTCATATAGAAACAAAGAAATCACCAAATGTAAGTGAAAAAGCATACTGGCTTGTAGAATCTTACATTCAGCCAAGACCAAACATTTGAAAGGTTCAAACTTTCAGACAAGTTGAAGTAAAAAAAGTTACAGAAAAGAAAAATACTTCAACATGTAAGGGTATGAGCAGCATTTTCAAACAAACGTACAAGAAACCATAAAATTGGCAGACAGATAATTAGACGAGGGACCTAATCCAAAAGAGAACCAAAGACAAAATAAAAAATGAAAACTGTAGAAGTTATTCTAATAAATATAATGTGATGAGGGCAAAGGACAGAGATCTAAATTTCCAAAATCAAACCATTTCAAAAATAGATCACACTTTATTGGTTTCTAAATTGAGTTGAGATGCAATATGACAGATGCTCATTAATTTGATACATTAACTTCACTTTTCTCACATGAATCATACAGTTCTTATCATCCCTCTTTAAATGTATCTGCTTTACATACATAAACCAGCATCAATCACTTTCGAACGAGTTCTCAGCATCAACAAGAACTGGTGCATAGGAAACTATTAAAAACAACCTCATAATCTTATTCTCCGCTCCTAATATTGAGTCTTCAATTCCACAGTGACTTTTACAAGAATGAAGTAATCAAGTGAGACATTCTCCGAAACCAAAATTATTAACAAGACATTGGTTCTAGATTGGTTTGCATGACCATGCCAAGAAGTAAAGCTTATAATGTCTTGCATAACAAATCATCAGGTAAGTGCTTCATTTGACTTCATCATACAGAATTTTTTTCAAGTTTCACTGTATAAGAAAACACTTGGGAAACTGATGCCATGAGTTCAGATATTTATTTGATGTGAATTTAGAATATGAATCAATCTAGTAAAAAGTACTAAAAACACCAATGAAGCCCTAAAACATGACAATACTCCAATTAACGGAGTCTATGAAACTGAAAGAGAAAAGAATTCTTCAATGCATGCAAGGCAAAGCCATCCATGGTTTTTATCTCCATTCTAGACAAATTGGTCAATAAAAATCACTTCAAAGACTTCACAGATCACCTTTCGATTTTCACTTTCCGAAACTATTCACTCCACAAGCTCCCAATTGCAGCCGCACAGTTTTTTTTTTCTTTTAAGTAATAACCAATGACAGTGACACCCTTCATTTAAGATTTGCCTTGTGTTACTGTTTGGGCCCAAAATAGCAGTTTGGGCCGAGGGAGGTATCACTTTCGGCCCGGGAAGACTACGGCGAGAAAGTCATGGGGGCTTCAGCTCATGGGCTTCTAGGCCTAGATCGGTTAAATCAGAGTGCAAGTCGAGTCCTAATACAATAGGGACCCTCGACGAGATCGGTAAAACTAGAAGGCGAATCCGGCTCAGTTAAGGACTAGATTCGTAGTCCTAGCAGAGGTAGGACTGATTGAGGTAACATTAATCCGGAGAAGGAAACCTAGTTCGAATAGGATTAGAACTCGGGCTCGGTGTTCTGCTTCTATAAATACAAGACATTCAGCAATGGAAGAAGCCCCACAAACATCAATACAAAATTGCCCTGCGCAAACTCTCACAACTTGAGATCTTTTTCTTTTCTTTTTTCGCTGACACATCTTCCGTTGGCATCAACAGCACTGTGGAAGCAACCGGTGATATCTTAAGTCGGCATAGATAGCTCTGTCACCGTAGAGTCGGTCGGTCTCGCAGTATCTTCCGTTGGCATCAACAGCACTGCGGCGAGAACGGTCGATTGCCTATCCAAGTCTCGGTCGAGAAGGGTTTTCGAATCCTTGTTGGTCGAGGTCATCTCATTAGCCTTCTCGGCGAGGTGAGGTGTTACAGTTATTACATTCGGCACATTGTAAGCCGAATTCGGTTCGTGAACTTTGTAAGAAATAGCAGCCTTGTCTTCAGGCTCGAGAACCCAAGAGGCCGAGACGCGTTCCTTTCTCGGCCGCAATCGCAAGACGCAGAAGTCAGTAGCGCGACCCAACGCAGCATCATCAAATTTACTCCTCGGCCGAGCCTCGGCCGACGAGTTGGCACGCCCCGCAATCACCGAAGGACGTAGTTAGCTTAGAATATATTCGGCCTGCGCGCCACGTAGGCTTTGTAATTTCTAGGGTCAACATTTTGGCACGCCCGGTGGGACCCAGTGCTAAACTACGAAGTTCATGCCAATTGAAACACGATCGGTAAAAAAAAAAACAGCTATGGGAAAGTCGACAGCCGATTTACCGAGTCAGAACATAGGACAGAGTGTGCCACAGGCGCAGAATCCCCTTAGCGTTGGGACACCTGAGTCCACGAGCGCAACTCGCCGAGAGAGAGAACTTAATCTCGGCGGTCAACTCCGTGGTTTAGAGATCCCAAACAGAAACACATGCGTTCTCAATGAAGGGATAATAGAGGAATGTGATGAGGATGGTGGTGAAGGAACAGACCCACCAACGAGGTCATTCCTCAGAAAGCGACTGGACGAGCAGTCTCGGTCAGTCGAGCAGACGTTCAGTCGAGGCATTGACAAGCTGCAGGACGCGATACTCAGTGCCAATGATCGGCAAACCAAACTGCTCGAAATGCTGGTTAGCCAAGTTGGTGGCAGCAGGCCTTTCGATCTTCGCCAAACTTGCTTACCAGAAAACAATCCGGCACCGATTGTACCGGCCGGGCCTATTCTTGCCCCGCTCAAAACAATTAACTTAGAGAAGGGAGGAGGGTCGAACAGTAGGTCAGACGGGACCGACCAAAGGGTCGAGGCAGCATCTGTTGATATGACCGAAGTTCAGCGGATGATCGACTCCGCTATGAAGAAAGGGCCGAAGTTTCCCAAGTTTATTCATCCATACCCAGCTTACGTTGAGACGTTTGGATACCCGAAGGGCTTCAAGATCCCAGATTTTAGTCTTTTTGCTGGTGAATCGTCCCTGTCTTCGTTGGAGCACGTGGCTCGTTTCACCGCGCAATGTGGAGATGTGAATAGTGATTTCCACAAGTTACGGCTGTTCAATTTTTCATTGACCGGCTCGGCATTTGCCTGGTACATCAATCTCCCGCCTAATTCCGTCCAAAACTGGGAGGAGTTGGTCGAGAAGTTCCACGAGCAATTTTATCGGCCGGGGATGGAGATGTCAGTTTCTTCATTAGCACGGATGGCTCAAGCGTCTGATGAGTCACCAATGGATTATCTTACTAGGTTTAAATCGGCTAGGAATTGGTGCCGAGTGCCTTTACCCGAAGTCGAATTTGTCAGACTTGCTTTGAATGGTCTTGACGTCGAATACAAAAAGAAATTCTTGGGGGCAAATTTTCGAGGACATGTACGAATTGGCCCAGCATGTCGAGCAGTACGATTATTTGCTCCGCGAGGAAAAGACTTCGAAGACTCCAACTCGGGGAACGATTTACAAGAACCCTACTGTCAATTATGCATCAACCGAGGATGAATGTGTTAGTGTGGATGCGGCTGAGATAGTAATAAATAAACCATACATTTGCAAGGCATTAACTCAGGTTGATTCTAGAGAAGCCAAAAGTCGCTCGGCCACTGAAGGAACATCGAAACCGTCAAAGGTTTATACTTTTGATATTACCAAGGCTGACGCAATTTTTGACCAACTGTTATCAGCAAGAATCATTAAGCTTCGGCCTGGTCATAACATTCCTAAGGCCGAGGAGCTTAAAGGAAAGGTGTATTGCAAATACCACAATTCGAGCAAACACACGACAAACAATTGCGTCGTATTTCGTGATAACGTCCAAAGCTGGATTGATAATGGCAAACTGAAGTTCCCCGAGAAGAGGATGAGTGTTGATACTGATCCGTTCCCCACGGCAACAGTAAGTATGGTCGACGCGTACCTACCCAAGGACAAAGGGAAAGGCAAGGCTGAAGTGGGTGAGACACAACGCCCGCGGAGTCAGAATGTTCGGCCACGGTTCATGGCCGATTCGCGTTCAAATAACTATCTACGGCCTTAATGGGGCCCGCTATTGTCAAATCTTTGACGGAGTATAGCGCTGATGAAGATAGTGGGACAGCGGTTCTGTGCAGGAAATGTAAAGCGAAGGTCGACAGTGAACCAGAAGAGAAACCTTCTTCGCAACCCGTGGCCGTAACTCGGCAAAAGGTAGCCAATGAAGACCAACATCATGGGGTTTTTGGGAGGCTCGGTCCTAAAGTACGGATGGAAGAGACACCCCCGGTCAGGCGGCGCCTCGATTTTGATGCTTCATTTTATGACGATGATTACTATAAGCGTAATTCTAGCAGTTCAGGATCATCACGGAGTCAAAAGACCTTCAAGCCTCCTGAGCCTAGAGATCAACGTTGGTATACGTACCATTCTTCGAGGGGCGTCTATACCGCGTTGTCCAAATCTCAGAAACGCCGGCATCAACGGATGGATTGCATGGCTCGCCGACAAGCAGCCCAAGAAACTTCGGCCCCTAAGTGGCGACCGAAGGATACAGTTGCCACTCGTGAAAAGCGACCACCTCCACCAATTATGACAGAGTTGGCTCAGGGAAAACGGCTGGTCGGTCAAGACGTCGAGACCATGTTTGAAGAAGCCGATAAGCGGATCAAACTTCTCATTCGACCAGGGGAAATGAAGGCACGTGTTGAACATTTCAGGCAAAAGGCCGAAAGTAAATTATCCCCGATAGCTATCCAAGAGCCTTTGGTCAAAATTCGACGGAATTTGCACCCCCCGTTCCTTGGGGAGTCTTTGGAATATATGCGAGAATTTCATAAGGAACATTCGGCCAACGATTTGTATGGTTTGCCGAAGGCATGTCAGGACACCATTGATCTTGTCTTGGC